CCAGTCCCGGTGTGTTACGGAAAAACAAATAAGCACACTGCCGGTAGTCTTCTGTGGCATGAAGTACTATGAAGCCCTCATGCCATCAACGAACCAGGAAAGTGCTGCAGTCCGAATAATCAAGCTTGTCTAAATTTTTGGCGTCCGAAAAATCGTTGACTCCTGAACTGTGTCTTGTTTCTAAAGAGTGTTTTGTTATGTTGCAGTGGACAATGTCCCGTCTGGCGGTGTTGGGTCAGCCCCTCCAGCTTGCCCAGCAGTGGTTCCTGCAGCTGGCGCTCCTGCTTCAGTTCACGTAGTGCGAGCTGGTGTGGATCACGCTCGACCTGTACCGGCCGCTGATGCTGCAGTTCCAGCAGCGGATCTTGTAGCAGGCCCGCCGGAGGCATTTCCCGAGTGTGTGCCAGTGCTTGCAGAGGCTGCTGACGAGGTAAGTTCAGAATTTCATGGAATATTCATTCCAGATATTGGGCAAGTGACTAAATTTTATTGTTTCCACAGCTCCTTGAATGAGGTTATTTATATGCTTCCTTAAATTGAACCATCGGGCCGTTTCAAAATGCTGATGAATATAAAGAGTAGGGCCGGGCATTGATAAGATATTTCTTCCCAATGAATTGGCACTTTTCTGAAACGTTTTCTATCTAGTGTCCTTGTCTTATCTTGAGCTTTTTCATAAATCATGTACCAAGTAGCCCAATTAAAATTGTGTTATAATTGGTACCCTTCTTTCGCTTTCTCTCTTTACTCTGAACTCACTTAAACGGACACTTACACCCCCAATAAAAGTTTTCATTTTTTGCCAGCCGATTTTTAGTGGTGTCGAAAGACTACCAAATTAATATTTTGCAACAGTCACATATATTTTTATTAAAGCCAAAAAACGCAACTGCGCAGAACCGAAACTGAAACCCGCGCACGGAGGTCGGAGAAGTGGAGAGGAGAGAGTGAGTGGGCGGAAGTCACGTGGCTACACCCGACCGTGAGCTTTTTTGTTTTCCCCTCCGTTTTTTTGTTTTTTTTTTGTGTGCATAGCAGACGACATGCGTGGCTGGAACTGTTTTCTATGCGATTCTTTTGCAGTTATGTTTGTTCCACTTTCTGTTCTGTACTTCAAGATGAGGTGTTCTTTACATTGAGAAGTTGGAGACGAGTAGTGAGTGCCCGTGGTGAATTTCTGTGATTGGCTTTGAAAAGAATACCCCCAAGATGTTGTGTGAAGAGCTGCCTTGCATGTCCTGCGTCCGAAAAAAGTGGCATTGTGCGGCAGACGTCTGCACAAGTTTCCGAAAGATCAATGAGATCGGGACCAATGGCTGGCTGCATTTCCTCTAGAGCATTTCTATCTATTTCTAGGTTCATCTTTGCCATGGTGTCTTGGTGGAAAAGGACAAACTGTTCTACGTGAGGGGAGCCCGGGGAGACTCCATGTTCGTTAAAGAGGCCACGAAGTTGATCTTCGGCAGGGAGAACCTGCATGGGCGGAGTGTGACTGGGGTGCCATGCCGGCGCTTCAAGGGCGCCGTCGCCAAGAGGGCCCTGACTCCAGTCAAGTTGGCAGCAGTAAGTGCCCACTTCTCACAGATGTCTCATACTTGGTGAGTCACTCAAACCTTATGGCTTCTGAAGTTGCAACCTGCTACGACAAAATTAATGTGATAAAATATTCCAAGGCTTTCAGAACTTTCAGTGTTATAGGCTGTTGAAAGGTCACGGTTCGACTAGTTCGAGCTTTAGGAACGTGAAACTCTGAGCGCAAAACCGAAATGAAGAAGCCCTATCTCCCTTTTTGTTTTTAATATATGAAGAAAAGTAAAGTGACCTTGTCACGGTCATCTAGGTCCCTTGGTGCTTTCTGATGTATTCACACTGAGGAGGTTTTACAGTAACATGCTCCGCATTGCAAATATCTGCTAATCCCTGCAAGTTTTGGGGGAGGTCCATGATATCAGTGGCCTGCTTGCAGGACCTTCTGCTGAGGCACATATTTTTTCTTTTGAACGGAAAGCTGGCACTAGCAAAGTTGTGAAAGTGAGTCTGTTTGTTCACTAGAACTGCTACAACCGAACTATGTTTGGCTCTGTCCTTTGAGTAGTGCCCATTTTTTCTGAACCGCCTTTTCACCGTGGGTGTTCCTCCTTTCTAGTGCTCAGTTTTCTTACCAGGGAACTATCTCGTATGAATAGACCATTGAAGGGTCGTAACACGGATATTAAATTAGTTAAATGGTTCTTGATATCAAATCCGTGTTATCAATTTATATACATGCCCAGAACAACAATTGCAGGTCAAAATCTTTCTTTCGCACTAAAACTGCCGGTCGAGAATTGTGTGTTCAGTGTTCCTTTTACTTGTTCCCATGGTGACATTGTTGGGCATGAAATAAGTTAGAGGTTGTAGGCGATCAGAGGCCCATGTTCATAATTGAAAATACATGCTTAGATTTATAGAACATACTTTTACTTAAGTTAACAGGCAGGCGAGCTGGTTAAGGATAGACGTAGTTACCCGGGAACGTGGGGAAAAAAAGGGACAGACAGACACGAAGCTCTGGAGCTTCGTGTCTTTCCGTTCCTTTTTGTCCGCTGCTTCAAGGTCTATAATTTTCATAAACACTGAAATGCAGGGAACACACTGTTGCAAGCAAACTTTAAGTGCATAGTTGTGGAAAGTCACACTAGGTATTTTCGATTTGCTTGAACTGGCCGATCTAGTTTAAATAGTGTAAGAACTGACTCATTAGATTCAACCGGAAGTTGCATGGACGCTGAACTGGCCTGTTCGATTTATTCCAGTGCTGCACGAGCTCAGCCTCAGTTCCACAGAATCTTGCGCTGGCCGAAGTCAGTTCAGCGCTCATGCAGTAACAGATGGCAACTGTTCGGTCTTTCGGAAACCAATTACAGGGTCGTTTGTAACGCTGCAGCTTAAGTTCACGCAGCCGCAGCCCGACTTTCGCACTGCTTCTGCACTCCTCTGAACTCGGTCTGAACTGGTTCAAAACTTTCGGGCCGAATCATGCATGCCTGCTCTTTTAAACAGACTGCGTAATCGTAAGAAGTTACTCTTGGGGTCTGCATGGTATCACAAGATATTAACAAAGCATAAATTGTAGCGGAAATTGCTTACTTATAATTGCAGGAAGTAAAATATTAAATTTTTCAGCAAACTGTAGATATACATGACTTATTGTTGTATTCTTTTCCCCTGCAGATGCCTTCAACGAGTACCTATGGAGGCATCCTCGAGAGGCCTCTCCAGGGAAGAGGACAGCTCGGGTGAATCTACTGCAGTATGCAAATTTGTTAATATCCTACTGCAGGATATTAACTAGAAGTTTGACTTCTAAGCTTGCTTAGAGGTTAAGCTTCTTGTTGGTGTTCTGCAGATGCCAATTTGCGTTCACTAAATACACGTATAACCTGAAATGACCTTTCTCATGCTCATTCTTTGCATGACAAATGCATGCGAATTGTTAAACCTGCAAAGATCCATCCATCCGTTTGCAAACGTCGGACACCATGTTGATTCCTATTACTGCGTCAGAACGGATAAATATTTAAAGATATAGGTTTCTCTATCTGAACAGATGAACATGTATAAATATTGGTTCCTATATCTAAATGGGTCAACCTGTTAGGTACGGGTTCCTATATCTAAACGGGTCGACCCGTACAGGCACGGTTTCCCTTACCTAAACGGGTCAACCCGTACAGGTACGGGCCCGTATCTGAACGGGTTCCTGTATCTGAATGGGTCAACCTGTACAGGTACGGGTTCCCAGTATCATACGGGAGACCCGTATCCCATAACACCGTATGAGATATACGGGTCAACCAGTATGAATTTTTATACAGGTTTTTTCAGGAGGGCTGTACACCTTCAACTCAAGGAGGGAGCTACACCAAAGTTCTGTAAGGCACGATCCATCCCTTTTGCTCTCCGTGATAAGGCTTCTCAAGAACTAGACAGACTGGTAGCAATTGGCGTGTTATCACCGGTTGCGCATGCGGAGTGGGCTACGCCCATTGTGCCTGTCTTAAAGAAAGATGGAACAGTTCGGATTTGCGTCGATTTCAAGATCGCGTTGAATCCTGTATGCGAACTGGAGCAGTACCCATTGCCGGTGATTGACGACATGTTTGCGTGCCTAAACGGGGGAGAGTACTTCAGTACTCTCGATCTTCGTGACGCGTATAACCAAGTACCGCTAGACGAAGAATCACAGAAGCTATGCGTAATCAACACGCATCGAGGGCTATTTTGCTTCAAGAGGCTGCCTTTTGGCATAGCGTCTGCCCCAGCCATCTTTCAACGTAAAATCGAAACAGTCCTGCAGGGACTACCAGGCGTGCAAGCTTACCTCGATGATGTGCTGGTTGCGGAGCGACAAGGAAGTAACGATACTCTGCGAGCGGTACTGAAGCGTTTCCGCGAGCACGGTGTAAAACTCCGGCGAGACAAATGCAAATTTAGTCAGCCTTCAGTCACGTATTTAGGGCACCAAATCGACAAAGACGGCCTACATCCCACTGAGAAACATGTGGAAGCAATCGCCCAGGCTCCTAACCCGACAAATGTGCAGGAACTTCGCTCGTTTTTGGGCATGCTGTCGTATTACTCCAAGTTCCTGCCGAATATGTCATCCGTGCTTGCACCTTTGTACCAGTTGCTGGGGAAAAATGCGCGTTGGGTCTGGAGAGAAGCTCAGCAGGCCGCCTTTGCCAACGCAAAGCAGTGCTTACTTGCGGCAGGGGTACTCGTTCACTACGACCCCGCGAAACCATTGAAACTGGAGTGTGATGCTTCTCCGCATGGCATCGGTGCAGTGCTGTTTCATACGGTCGGAAAAGTAAACCAGCCCATTGGCTTCCGGTCGCGAACGCTGACCAGTGCCGAGCGGAATTACTCTCAGCTAGAACGTGAGGCCTTGGCTCTGGTTTTTGGGGTGTCGAAATTTCGCGACTATCTCTTAAACACAGATTTCACCTTGGTCACAGATCATCAGCCGCTCCTGGGCCTGCTGAAAGCGGACAAGCCTACGCCGGCGTTGGCCGCAGCCCGAATACAGCGCTGGGCTCTCTACCTCGGTGGATTTCGCTACAAACTTCAGTATTCGCCCGGTAAGCTGCTACTAAACGCCGACCCACTCAGCCGGCTACCGCTGCACACTCCAGAACCACCAGCAAGGAGCGAACCCCCCGAGTATGTTCACGCGCTGGCAAGTTTCGATGATGGCACTGTGTCTGTCGAGGAACTCAAACAGCTAACTGCGCAGGACGTGTTACTAACGAAGGTTGTGGAGTATACGAAGCACGGCTGGCCTACACATGTAAAGGACGCGGGATTGGCGCCATTCTCGGAACGCCGGTTGGAACTATCTGTGGCTCACGGGTTGGTATACTGGGGTCATCGAGTTGTTGTTCCCACAGAAGCACGAGAACGGGTACTACACATGATGCATGAAACGCATCAAGGGTCCTCGGCCATGAAGGCGGTTGCCAGATCGGCATTCTGGTGGCCGGGACTAGACCGAGAGATAGAACACCTCTCAGCGTCGTGCCACAATTGCGTTCAAAACCTGCCTATGCCGGCCTCTGCTCAACCCATCAGTTGGCCAGCCGTTAAGGAAAAATGGTCGAGGCTCCACGCCGATTTCGCCGGGCCGGTCGCAGGCAGCATGATACTGGTAGTCGTGGATGCTGCCACTAAGTGGATTGAAGCCGTGCCCATGAGGCAGGCAAGCACGTCATCTACGATTGCCAGCTTGCGCAGCATTTTTGCCAGATTCGGTGTTCCACGCACAATAGTTACGGACAACGGCACGCAGTTCACTAGCGAAGAATTCGCCATCTTTGCTAAGAACAATAACATCGCACACCTACGTACGGCTGTGTATCACCCACAGTCTAACGGACTTGCTGAACGAGCTGTTCGTACGATTAAGGAAGCGCTAAAGAAGATGAGCGAAGGCACACTTGAAGAGAAGCTAGTCAAAGTTCTTTTCAACTACAGGAGAACGCCGTGCCACGAGGGAAAATCCCCTTCCGAACTTCTATTCGGCTACTTGATCCGCTCGCGCTTGGACTCGTGTTTCCCACCTTTCCCAGGGTCAACCCAGGAGACGGAAGAGTGGACACTGCCGCCCGACACAGCCGTGTACGCCCGTAACTACGGCCAGGGGGAGAAATGGACACCAGGGAAAGTGCAGTCCACTACAGGGTCACGCATGGTCACCATACAAACGCCTACTGGGGTGGTTCGACGTCACATAGACCAAGTGCGTTCCAGGCCGAGCCCGGCATCCGCTCGGAGCGGCGTTCGAGACCAAGACGAGGGGAGCCCTTCGGCTGCAGCTGCGCCCCCACCGACCGACAACGAAGGCGATTTGAACGAGCAGCCTACAGACCAGGTGGCGCCGGCACAAGCATCGCCGCCTATCCAGAAGGCGCAGAAACCCCCTCAAGCTTTGCGATGATCTACTCGGGAAAGGAAGCCTGTACAGCGTCTTCAATACTAAGGGAGGAGAAATGTTGTAAATCATCTTGATATGCTATCTCCCGCCGCCTGAGCCAGGCGTGTGACGTATCAACAACAGCAGCGTTATGTCTTTCCTCGCCCTTTCTCCCTTCCCAACTCCCTCTCTCTTGCTTGCGTTAAATACTCTGTTCACGGACGAATAAACGTTCTTTTCCAGTCCCCCAGCGCTGGTCTCGTCAGTCGTCCACGCACCGTATGTGCGGTTGCTACGTAGCACCAACCCAAGTTTCGAATATCTCTGGTGTGTCACAGAATTGCTCTTTCACGCGTCCCAGAAGAGAAATAAATTAAATAAGCGTTGGAAACACGATGGTAAGATGTCATCCTCCGTTCCCAAGCAGCACGGCAATACTTTGCAGTATCGTGCCAGTGCCGGCCGAAAGTCGGTTCCAATATTGCTCAACTGTCCAGTTTCGCACCACCGTTTGATACTCGGCAGGTATTGCCGTACAGCTGTTTCACCCCGGCCTAGCGTTCGCGCAATATTGTGCGAAAACTCTACGATGCGTCTGCTTCGTATTGGCCGAACGTCGTGCAAGTATGTGTACGTTGCATGTCATTTGTTGCATATCCAATCACTTATACGGACAAACCAATTTTTTCGATCGCTCCCAGAAGTTTATTAAACAACTATCATTGCACACAGTGTATTCTCAACATATTTACAAAGGTCACACTTCTCTGTAAAACGAAAAGCAAATTATAAAATACAATTAACGCTGTCCTCGTGCCAAGCAAAACTCATCACACAAAAACCGCGGAGATTGAGAGGAAAGCAGGACGACTATCAGAATCATGCTTGCAGTGTACTTACTAATAAAAGAGCGATATCATGCAATCCTTAATAGATGTATAATCCAACTCAGGGCACCCCGCAAACACACTCGAGAGAGAAGGTTGCGCACATTCAACTGACGTCTCGTTGTCGGCGAGGAGCAGTTTTTGTCCAAGCGTGTCCAACAAACACATCACAAGTATTCCACGAACTCCGGTGCAAAAAATGGCTGTTACCGAAAAATTGGCATGGACGTATTCCGACCGTTTACGACGAAAAAAACACAGCCGCGTCTGCAACGCACGAAAGCAACAGAACACTGAAGAGCAGTGCGAAAACCGGACCTACGTGGCCCGCTTATTTCTATAACTAGGCAAACGGCGAAAACGACAGCCCCAGAGATCCCATCAGCGTGACAGAGAAAGTCACGTGAAAAATTTTCGTCCAAACGTTTTTGTCCTACGCGTCCTACGTAGAGAGGTCACCTGGGTCACGCGTTTCGCTTCACCCTTTTGATTTGCTTAAAGAGGCTGTTGCGCTCGCTGACAGCCACACGAAGACACAAAAGCAGGTGGGGAGGATTTGTAAAAGGCGAGGTCGAAGGGGAATCAACAACGCATAAAAGGAAAGGCCGCTTCTGCCGGTGACCTAAAGGGAGGAAGTGGCCGAGTGGGCTAACGCGTCTCAGCTCGGAGCGTGGAGCGAAAGCTTGCGCTGGGAACCTCCTGGGTTCGATCCCCGCTGCCCCCGCCCGTTTCGATCTGGATGAGTTTCGTACCGGCACGCGTTCGTGTGATCACTACTGCGTGATGCACGTTAAAAACCCCAGGTTAGCGGTTGTACCGCACTGGCCAAATTTCTCATCTACAGCTAAGAGACCGATTACCCGTTGAGGCGCATCTCCATCAAGGCTGTATAAACATAAAGAGCAAGCCAATTTTTCTTTGCCGGTGACCTTGTCGCCTTGCCTAGTCTGTCAGCGTTCGGCTTCCATTGAGGGCCTCAGAAAGATAATCTCCTTTCTTGAGAGCAAAATGGACGGGGTGGTTATGTTCTTCGGGCTTGTCACCATCCGATAGGCCTCAATTATTTTTGTCCCCACTCGCTCGCAGTGGCCTCCTATGGCGGTCGTGCCGGTGAAATTAGGAGCGCAAAAATACTCCAGAAGCCGGGCGAAGACATGATAAATGAAATAACAAAAACGGCTTGACATAACAAAAATAACAATTTAATTAAACGTTTCGCCACCCATGCCGGAGGCATCTTCAGTAGAGCGCAGAGCGAGTGAGAGTCGCACAAAAAAGTTCGGCTATTTAGGCATAAAGTTTGTGTACACGTCCGGCAGGGGGCCACGGTTCTTGTTTACCAGCGATGAATCCCTTCCGCGTTTGTCGTTCTGGATGAACCAAGATTCCAGCAGCTTCCTCGGTCCCCACCTTTTATCCCTCGCCTTGTCAAAGTCAAATTGGTGTCCTGACGTCCATGCATGGTCGACGAGTTCGGACTTGAAGCGGGTGGCGTTCGTGGAATTGGCGGCATCCCGTGCGTGTTATTTTAGTCTTGTTTTTTTTTTCGTTCTGTCTCTCCAATGTAGGAAGCGTCACATTCCTTGCACTGCACCTGGTAGATCACGACCCTTTCTGCCTCTGGCGGGGTCGGGTCTTTTGGCTTGGAGATAACATTGGCAATTGTTCTGTAGGGTTTGTATACAGTTCGTTCCCCCAACGGCCTAAGGGCGCGTCCCAATGCCTCCGAAACCCCCTTAACGTACGGGATGCACACGACGTCACGTGTTCGTTCGGCTCGATCCGGGCGCGGACGGGACATTTGTTTTTTAACGCGATTGATAAACCGGTTGGGGTAGTTACGTTTCTTCAAAGCCTCCCGCACGTGGCTAAGTTCTTGATCGCTAAGTGTTGAGTTTGATGGGACTGTTTCTGAACGATGAAGGTAACGATCTTACAACTGAGTTTTTTTGATGAGTAGGGTGATGAGAGTGGTAGTCAAGAAAGTTTTGTCTGTCACATGGTTTAACATATACGGATGTCTCCATCTTAAAGAAAGATTCACTAGTTCTATGGACACAGTAAAGGTTCGTCCCTTGGTTGAATAGATGATGACTGCCCGGCGGTGTCTTGCGGGGCCAATCGTTTGATGAGCCTTGTTCGGTGGGTGATCAGAAGAGTGCGACAGATGCGGGAGGACTTCGTCTAAACCGTTTATTTAGACGTTACGAGCTATTGTACACAGTCTATACAAAGCAAAGGAAAATCGCCGTCTTCCAAATTAGTCCAAGTCCAAGCCAGAAAGGGCTTCTCTCTCCCCCGTCACGGACTTTTGAAGACGCTGACCCCCTCACTCTCGGGCGAGGATCAACCAATCATTTCAAAGCTTTGCTGGAGCCACGTGATATCCACCGTCCAGTAGTTGGCAAGGGCGTCGATACACATTTGTTAACTTGCCAACGGACTACAGCCGACAGCTCCGTAACTTCGTCCGTGCATCCCGTTGCAGACATAGCGGCGCCTCTCCGGAACCCCCAGGTTGAAACCCAAGAAGCCCCGTAGAATGCGCAAGCCTCCAGATTCAAAATAAAAAACATCTCTTCCCGAGGGGTCATCCCGATGGGGGAGACACAGGAAGACGCTCTCCAGGGGGGCCGCGACGGCAGAAAGGCCCACGCGGTCTCCCGTTAGAAAAATAAAACTACACAAAACGACCGGGGAGGGAGCATCACCCTACTGAAAAAAACCATTTGAAATTCAAACGGGTGGGAAACTGGTCGCCCGTTTGAATCAAACTTGTCGATCCGTTTGGATCAAACGTGATTATGGGATACGGGTACCCGTTTGGAAACGGTACCCGTTCGAAACGGTACCCGTTTGATACAGGTACCCGTTTGATACGGGTGCCGTATGGTACGAGTACCCGTTCGACATGGCACGTGACCACACGTTTGAACGTGCCATCCGAATTGGCAAATTATGCGCTAGCCCTAAATGGGTATCGTCTGGGAGGTTGGTTATCTTAAACATATTTAAGACGTCCCGAAACTCATAAACGTATTTATAACATGGAGAAAACACGTAGAACAAATGCACTCGCGTAGGTGCTTGTAAGTGGACAGGAAAACCGACACAAAAGATTGTTTTCAATTCTCCTCGAAGTTTATTACCTCTTCTGTAGACAAGTACAAACGTGCAAGCGATCTGTGAACACTATACAGGTAGACTTTCGGGGAAATTATTCTCCTGGCTGCCGCGCGAATAGGCGCTGCATAATTCTTTAGATAATCTAGAAGAGTACGCGTAGAAGAACGGTCAATCGTTGCCAACACATAGGTTGCAGTGCACTTACCATAACAATAGCGGACTTGAAAGATGTAATCCGTGATATTTGTCGACACGGTCAAAGCAGGACAACCACACAAACACAAACGAGAGGGAACGGCTCCTTGGAAGTTTCAACACGATGCGGCGCACAAGCTGTCATTTGCCGAACCCAACCAAACCGCGAGAATTTGCGACTTCTTTGAAGAATCGCTCGTTGCCGACATACACGTGGGTCTTTTCGAACACTGATAGCTTTGGTGCACATCCAATACGTTGTCGAGAGACATCCCAATAAGACCGCAGGGTTAGGCGACAGATTGAAGCAGGTAGGACGAGCGAACTTCGAGCAGCAACTGACAACAAGCAGACAAAGAAAAAAGCGGCTGCAAGGCGCGCCCCGCGCGCCCTTCCGGATCTCGATGCTTATCAGCGCGTAGCTTGCGCGCTGCTGTGGGTCACGTGACAGGAATGGCAAGAGAGGAGGGAGGGGGCGAGGTCAAGGCGCTGGGACCACCGGGACAGCCCCTCTCCCTCTCCCCAGGCATTCCAGGGAGATGCGTTTTTGTAGTCCCGAAGAACAAACGCGCGCGCGCGCGCGCGCTCGAACTTTGGAAATGGTGGCGGGGCAGCCAGAAGCTCGGCTTGCGCCCGAGCGAAGAAAGTACTCAGCGCAAGCTCGTAGTTTGAGTGCTGCAACGGCGGGCGTGCTCTCGCAATGCTCGATGTTCTTGCAGCCGCGTGTACGCGTGCTACCTTCGCTGCGTCTTGAATTAAAGTGAAACGGAGTCTAGACGTACAGTCTTTCACGCGGTCGCGTGTTCTGCGAGAGAG